CCGTTAACCGTAGGTTAATGTACCTTTCCGTTTGAACTGGGTGAGTGGTTGGCATTTCGTCATTCCGGGTTTTAATTGTGTCGATTTTTCAAAATATAAATTTGATGATGTAAATTATCAATAAAAGGTAGAAATCAGTATTCAAGTCGATCAAAAAGAAAAGCCCCAAGTCACCGTACTGGATTGTACATCACAGAAGACAGCCACTGAACATTAATATCCTCCAACATGTAACGAAACATATGTCCTAATTCCAGTTGATGTATGGTCACAAGAAAACATTCTCGAGTTGTTAAGCTATAAAGAATTTCGTCCAGAGAATCTGCACTGCAGTCAAATGGATGAACAAGCATTTCATCTATTATATAATTATTGTAAATCAGACTACAAGAAAGCTTACGAATCATTCCCAAAAGACTTGCATAAAATAATTCATAACGGAAACGATGATTTATCTCAATCTTGGATACGCTATGTGGTAGGCATAGTATCAATTTGTAGCCGTCTGTGATCGATACTCATCACTTCGGAATCACTTTGTAAAAACTTTCAACGTCGATTTCTGAGATCCTCCTAATAACGTTGGACAAACAGCCTTGATAACATACTCGGTAACGTACCATTATTGCAAAAAAACGATCAATCATTTCCAAGCACTCCAGTTTGCGGTTCTTATAACACGCAAAAATTTTCATCTGTGAAACTCCATCATTACCAAGCATGCACCAATACAATATGCTGGATTCAAATATTATTGTATACCCAATCTATTGAGACGAATAATATTGGTCACCCGAACATATTGGGTTTTCACAATATTATTGAGTATATCCCGTCTTGAATCAATATATAACCCAATTACTCTCTAAAAAAAAGGTGCTGTATGGAGCCTAAAAAGAGTTTAAACTTTTGTCACCATCTATATACCTTTTTAAGGTTTCATACAGACTACGAAGCCTTTTAAGATTTCATACAGCACCCTAAATTCGCCACTGGAAAAAATTTGTGTAAAAACACAAAACAAAGTGTTTCTCAGTATTTCCAAGCTTTTCCCAGTCACGGATTTAGCTAAGTAAAACAGTATATATGTTTGTACGAAACCTTAAAAAGGTATACAGATGGTGACAAAGTTGAAACCTTTTTTAGGTTCGGTAGAGTACCTTTTTGTTTAGAGAGTAGGCATGCACCGATTAAAAATCGATGCTAGAGCATCTAGCAAAGTTGTTCTGAATCAGTTACGAAAAAGCACTTAGAGCTGTCCGACATTTTGTAGAAAAAATGTTTGCTCTGCCATACTGAAGTGCTAGAGAAATTTCAATGTTATATATAGAGAATACGATAGACTGAAAAAGCACTAAAATCGCATAAAAATAATCGAGAGTCGATTATTTTTTCGCAGTTTTGCTTAGTTTTGGATGCTTATATTTCTGTCACAGATAACCAAAAAATGTTTCCTTCCACTTCAGTGTGTTAGAGCACACATTTTCTACAAAATGAGACACACGGCAGCTCTAAGTGCTCTTTCGTAACTGATTCAGAACGACTTTGCTGGATGCTCTAGCATCGATTCTTAATCGGTGCACGCCTAATCCCGATCGGTATGCATTTTTATATCCCAGTTGGGATATAAAGCTCGATCGGGATATATATCCCGATTGAGATATGTTTCCTTCCTTACGTTAATATGAATGCAAATAATGTTAAGGTTAAAAAGGTGGAATACAGTGTATTGTGGAAGTCAGTATTACCCAATATTATTGTACAATATTATTGGTCCCGATATATTGGATATACAATAATATTGGATCCGATTATCATTGGATACCCAATAATATTGTACAATATCTTCAATAATGATCGGTGGTGCATGTCTAATCATTATTTTTTTCATAACAAAATGTTATAATTTTCTTCTACATAAATATTTCCTATGAACCGTTAGAAATCTAATGGAATTGTGAACAAAAATGCTATCCGCTCGTTAATTGAAGGGTAATATGTGTTATTACCAAAATGTTACGATGAAACTGAATATTGTGTTTGTTAATAATTCTGTTCGTAAGAAAATTGTTTAACAACTTTATCACGCTGACCGTTCGTCACAAAGACATGCCATTTCAAATTGATTTTATCTAATTAACATTTTGTAAAGAATTCAGGATTTTAATTGATTCTACTGCATCTTGTATGCATAGCGACCCACTAGTTAATAAATATTCAAGATTGGATATGGATTTTAAAAAACATATGACCTTCTGAATTGAAATGTCATCGTCTGTTTTTACTATTAGTTTTCTTAACAATAGCATTGATGGCGCACAGCATTCACCAACCGAAAAACAAAAATGGATATTCAAATATCGAAGATTCGGTAAACAAGGTAGAAGTAAATTTAATGATGTAAAGCTAGATGAAATTATTAAATATTGAATTTGAGATGGTAATTTGAGTTGTATTGATTTCAGTTCATAGAAAAACCAATCATAGATGAATGTTTTTAATGTCTGAACATGTAGTACGGCTTCAATAAGTCCGTTCGAATGTTTTTTCGGATGAATGATTTTTAAATTTGTCAAATGAATAAGTTTTTTTAATATAATTTCGAATCATCCACTTAGGACGACCAGTTTGACAAGAGACGTCGATGTTTGAATGAAATACATGTGTAATCGATGGCGCTGATTGCCGAAGATAACATGAGAGCGATCTACAGGCTTTCAGATACCGGTTTCGGGAAAACTAGGCTCCCGAACCAAAACCATTTTTTTACCAAATACACCACTTTTGATCTTTCCCGTTTGTAGAACATGCCGAGTTATGTAAGTGAAAAAACTTCTATGACAGTCGGATATGGTATGATAGAGTTTTAAAAATTTGAAACACTCATAGATTACCTCTAAGGGATTGAGTGTCCGTTTTTCCTATTTTTCGGGAATTTATTGTTTTTCTAGCATCTTTCGTATCGCACAGTGGACATTTTTCTGTACAGCAGGCGAACATGTGGTTTTCAAAGTCGAAAAGTGATTATTTTGACTAAGTGCCACTGCCGTTTGTTCTAAATATCAATAAATATAAAAGAAAAGGAAATCAAAAAAAGTTTTTTATCGCCTAAAATCACCTTGATGCACATTTTTGTCAAAAAGTTTTTTCTCTTCTAAAATTAACTCAAGATACACGATCTGATGCAGTTTTCTGCGCTGATCCCAAATATGACCTTAGTTTTCAATAAAAGTGCTTCTAAGCGAAGAGAAACGGAAAACACTGAAAGACCAAGGGTTTTTAGAAATTCTATATGTAAGGCCACGACAATATCTGCATTTTGTGCATGCTTTATAGATGCAGGACATGTTGATAAATATTTCGATGTGATTTTAAGTCAAGCTGGATCCCAGCTAACTGTAGCGATTCGTTTACACTAAAGATAGCTCTCGGAAACACCGTTCCGCTTGACAAAAATACGTTATTTTGCCGACCGGTTAGTGTAAATGGAACTTTTCCTTTATTAATAGATAGCTAAGAGCCTGCGAATTTCAAACATATTCATTTTACCGCTTCGCATTCGCTTTATATTATATAGAAACGCTTTTTTCGAATAGGTTTCGAATATCGAAACTATTTTTCAGCTCTCACAGTTTTCCTAAAGTTTGTTGGTCGAAACAAATAATTTCATGCCATTATATACACCATCGATCAAACCACATTCCACACCATCTGAATTTCGAAAAAGCGTACTTTCGATTTTTTGCTAAATGTCCATCTGGATGCCCACTGTGTATCGGTTGTCAAAACTCATCTGATAACAATGAAAATCAAATGGATAACTCAATGTCAGCTTCAAATTGGTAAGATCACATCTGAGTTTTTATTGAAAAAGGTTTCGAGCTTGAATACCTGGTTTTTGAGAAATCAGTTTCTGAACGCCTATAAGATACTCAACAATGGACATTTTTCTAACAGCAGGAGGACATCAGAATTTTTTGCTCATAAATTATTTTTTCATCTATAAATATCGTTGCTTAGTCATCTATGATGATTTTAAAGGAAAAATTATTCTTTTTGGATCTTGCTGGCTCTTAGGAAAAGATTTCCATGAATATTTTTTCCACCCAAAATATACTGTGTTAAACACGATTCGATGTACTAGACGCTCGTTCCGTAAATGTTCTTACATTCTCTTAAAAATGCTCGTGGTCTGAGAAAAATAGTGTTGCCTGAAAAACCAGAGTTTTTTGGAAAACCTACAGCGAAGCCCAGGTACATTTTTGCTAATTTATACTGTATAGATGTGAAATAGGTAGAAGAATGTTCTGACAGAATTTGAGCCAGTTTAAAGCACGACGTAACTTGGCGCGTTTATTACACGAACTACATCACTATGGAAACGTTGTTAGGGTGGAAACTAAATTTTTTTGTCTCGATAGTTTAAGTCCAAAACTTTTTCTTACGAGGGAACCTTTTTAAGTGCTCGCTCGCTTTTTCAACGAAACCTAGTGGATCGATGAGGCTGATTCCAAATATGAATATAAGAGCTGCTCTTAGGGCTTCGAAGACCCGATTTTCTGGAAAACTAGTTTCTAGAAACTCTGAAAAAAAAATGTTTACCGAAAATCAAACTATTATTAAGCCTATTTTTGGCCAAATGTTTCCATGCACTCCTTAGCACCTAGAACAAAAATTCTTTCGTTATTCAATAGACCATCTGTGAAATTGTATTCATGCCTCTTGCAATCTGGAAAACGCGCACTTTCAATTTTTGGCCAAGAGTGCATCTAGATGCCTACTGTGTGCTCCCCCATGATATTCGAAATTAGCATCATCAATTACATATGTTAAGATGCCGTTTATTTAAAAGCGATGATACACTAGAGATCTTTCATCATGAAGGCAGATATGCATCGATACAACCGATTATCCCATTGTATCAATTTATTTTATCCATATGTATCGTTTTTTCTTAAAAAGATCAGATAATGCAATTTTAGCTCTTTGAAGTTCTTCAACTAAACGTCTTGGGGGGTGAGTGAAAAAATGTTTTCACACAGTGTTCTAAATGGATGACCCGTTTGAGTTTCTTTAAGATACATCTGACTTAGTATTAATGTTGTTATTGAAAGAAATGGTGTCATATCTATAATGTATGAGGAGAGTGATAATGATATAAATTGTTTTGGATAATGATTGAATGTTGGTTGAATATAGGCTGAAAATGTTCGAAAAGCTTTTTCAGTTGAAATATCAACATGTAATGGTAAAGAATAATTTTGTATGATCGATTTTACATTTGATGTTAAATCATAAAATGTTTCATACAATTGATTGGCATTCAAATATTCAAATAATTCATAGAGAATATCGATACAAAGATCATTAAAAGTTGATTTGATGACTATTGTTTCATTTCTATCATCATCATTTGGTTTCAGTTCTTTTGATTGTCTTAAATCCTCTTCATCTGAAGAAATTGATTTCTGATGTCGTTTCATAGTTGACGGTATTTTATTTCACCTCATAATCAATGCTTTTACTTGACATTTTATAAATTTTCTTCATTCTACATGTTTTTATATGTCCTTTTATTAAAGGTTAAATTATTATTATTTTTTGTCAATGGTTTTTTTCCTATAGAAACAGAGCATACAACAAAAGGGTTGTCAACGATAACAAGAAAAGGAGGAGAAGAGGAAAAAAATGCGAGGATGTAAAGCACCTTTGAAAACGTCATTTCATGCGTCAACATATTGCCTATTCACCCCACACGTACCTTATACATCACCAATTTTTTTATGATATCTTGGTGATGTGTGTAATCGAAGAAGGTCAACTGGACCCATAGCAGCTAAATACACTATTTTTGAACCCCATTTTATTGTACTGAACATTAATTATTAATTTTGTCACACAGTGTTTTTTCCACAGATTTTTCCTAATTCTTTCGCCGTCTTTTTATGATTATATAATTTATCATGAATAAGTGTCTTGCTGATATATTTTTACAGTATGATAGATATTAAAATCAACGTCACCATTGCTATCACCGATACAGTCGATAATTCATTTGATATACAATTCATTTCATTTAATAAAATTCAATGCTAATGCAAATAATCTTTTTAGTTTCTTATGTTTGCTTGTACTTGATATAATTTAAATAAATCATTTTTTACATTAGTCAACTGTTGTGATACTTAGTTTTAATTGATGATGCTTGTGCTGCTATTAAACAACATACAATGTGTACATGCTAACAATAGTATCATATAATATACGATAAGTATACACTTCAATATTTTTATTAAACTAAAAATGAATATACGAATTTTATTGAAAAAATGGCAAGCAATTATTTGTTAATATATTATTATAAAATGTAATTAAATTTGAGTTACATGATTAAGTCAATGATATATAAATTATATTTTACAAAGTAGATATTAGTTATTAACCCTTTCAGTCCCAGCGACTCCTTAAGGAGTTACCCATGTTTTTCTTTTCAGCATTAAAGTATGGACTTAAGCTGATTTCACAGTTCAATAGAGGTCAACAATATCTTCAAATTGACATATCGAATTACTATTTCTTACGT